ACTACTTCACGCCGTTCCGCAATCCCTGCTTGCCACTATTCGACTTGAGTACTGGCCCATTGGCGGTCGAAAAACTGTTTCTCGCGTCATTAGTAAATGTATACGCTGCTTTCGGGCTCAAGTTGATGAAACATTTAATGGGAAGCTTACCTTCGGAACGAATAAGAATCACTCGAGCATTTGTTACTACTACCATAGATTTTTGCCGACCATTTTTCTATAAGTCCGAAGTTAGAAATCGGCCTCCGATCAAATGCTACATTTGTTTATTTATTTGTTTTTCGACCAAGGCCGTTCACTTAAAACGGGTTAAAGATCTGACAACTGCTTCATTCTTAGCAGCTCTATATATGGTCAGACAATGCCACTAATTTTGTTGGATCCAAGCGGGAATTACGAGAGCTAAAGGAACTATTTCTCAACCAAGAGCATTGGAAAGCAGTTCATGAGCAGTGATCAAAGGATGGCATTGAATGGAGGCTAATACCTCCTCACTCTCCCCATTTTGGCTGTCTCTGGGAGGCTTGGATCAAAATAACTAAATATTATTTTTTTCGTGTTGCAGGTTTATCAACTTTAAATTTTGAGGAACTTCGGACGCTCGTTTGTCAAATACCCGCAATTGTAAATTCGTGGCCTTTATGTCCCATCTCAGAGAATGCTGAAGACATGGAGGTGCTTACGCCAGCACACATTCTAATTGGAGCCTGAAATTTCTGAGCTTAATATAAGTCAACTCACCGTGTGTGTTGTATGCAGCAGCATTTCTGGAAGAAGTGGCACACCGAGTATTTAACTCTTCTTCAGCAGCGGCAGAAGTAGCATTCGTCTTCAGCAAACTTAAGGCCTGGTGATTTGGTTCTAATTAAGGAAGAGAATAGCCCTCCACTCAAGTGGCCCCTAGCTAGAGTGATCGATGCTGTTCGTGGAAAGGATGATATAGTTCGTGTTGCCCTACTTAAAACTGCAAATGGCGCATTCAAGCGAGCTGTGGCAATCGATGACAACGTATTGAAAGCCTAAACCTTTCAACAGGCGGAGGCTGATTAATTATAAGATCTACCTTCAATATTATTGGTACGAGTCGATCAACAAGTAACATAACTAATAACACTCAATATGTATTTACTCTCTATTGCGCTCATTTCATACGTTGACTAATAACACTCAATACAGATTTACTGCCTTTTGTGCTCATTTCATACATTGATACACTGCACTTGTACATATGTGTATACATAGCTACGTCTATTGTTTATGCTACCGCTAAATCGGGTGATTTTACTGCACAAGCCCAAGTGTTATAATGATTGCAATAAGTTAAAAGCTAGTTTTAAGGAGAACCAATAATAATGAAATATTCATTACATCTGCGATCTTGAAGCAAAATGGCATAGGCGCTAGTAAACTGGCTTATTTTGTACTAGCTTTCGATAATTTCGTTATTTTTTATTGTAATTGCCACTGGTCGGTAAAAAGGCTTGCAGTCCACGAAACCAATTAAATTTCCGCTTTCCGAATTTGCTCTGGTCTATTTGAACGATTTTGCCTGGACCGCCAATTTTCCCGACATGCTCCTGCTTATCAATTTGGTATATTACCACTGAATTCCTTCAGTAACTATACCAGTCGGTAATCGTCCTGGTTGACAAGCAGGGGCCCCAACATAGTCTTCCAGTTGTACGTTAAACTGGGTATAACGCCGCGAATAGCAATACATTAAATAGAATATGTGGGGCAGTGACAGTTTAGCGTTCTCGAACTAAGTCCCCTTGGCTCTTGAAACGCTAGACTGGGTCCGGCACTGCCCCTTCCAGCAACAAAAGCTGCCCAAATCGGAATTACCCTTGAAGTAGATGGGACAAAGTTTGCTGCGCAACACCAACCCGTTCTCCTCAGCAAACTGAATGCATTGCTCCGCTGTCCCCAGTCGATCACGGACCTTGTAGCTGGACCACATACTGCGAATTTCCGCAGAGGTTAACACCTTTCCCCTTGCAGCTCCAGTGCTCATCGAAGGTACGTCTGAATCTGTAAATACGTATATTCTATAATATGTGTAAATCGGGGAAAAAGTAATAAAAATTACCGTAGTCAGTATCAATCATTTTTTATTTAATTGAATTTAATGGAAAATGGTAGAAAGAACCTCTTGCTTGCTTAAAGCAGAATTAAAAAGAAGCGGTACTTCTGTTCCTGGAATTTAAATAAACGATGAAACCAATTGGTAGTTAGGTGGTTGCCACTTAAAAAATATTTACATAGCCACAACGTTTGCTTTTTAACGGCTTTCGCCGAAAGTTCAACAACCCCCGACCACCTAGGTCCCCTATGGGAAAAATAGCCAAAAATCAAAATTTTTACTTGCGTAATACCACTCTTGACATTTTTTGTCCATTTTCGGCCGCGTAAGCTAAAGTGCACTACTACCAATATTACTTCCCTCCGAAAAAAATTTATATCGTTATGATCAGGAGTGAGACCCCTATACATCCTAATATAATTTTTGTTTAATAATAGCAATGTACGTATTGTGTCGGCCGCTGTGGTTTAGTGCTAAGCTTCCACTCCGCAACGCCTGGGTTCAAACCCTGGTCAAAGCAACATCGCAAAAAATATAGAAAAAAGGTTTTTCCTTAACAGCGGTCGTCCCTCGGCAGACAAAGGCAAACCTCCGAGTGTATTTCACCCATGAAAAACAGCTTCTCATAAAAATACAATCGCCGTTCGGAGTCGGCGTAAAACTGTAGGTCCCTCCGCTCTGTGTGACAACATCAAGCGCACGCCACAAATCGGAGGAGAAGCTCGGCCGAACACTAACATATGTATAAGCGCCAATCCATTATATTATTATTATTATTATGTACGTATTGTGCACTTATACCCCNCGCACGCCACAAATCGGAGGAGAAGCTCGGCCGAACACTAACATATGTATAAGCGCCAATCCATTATATTATTATTATTATTATGTACGTATTGTGCACTTGTGTGTTGCTGTCAGCCATTGTTATTTGTGCTTGATTGTGAAATGTGTTAAAGTTTGTGAAGACATTTATAAACGCGTTTTACTTAATTAACTAAATAATAATTGTATATTAAGGTATCACAAATGCATGCCAACCTTTTAAGGATAGTATATTTGTGTAAATAAAAGTGATGAGTGCAGTTTTATAATAAAATATAGTGATAGTAGGGAGGATATTTTAACAACAAATAACTTAAGTACTATTAGCAACAACATTGTGAAAGTGATAAATATAGTTAAAGAAGCCCTCCATTAGTATCCCCACCGAGTTTCATTAAAAAATTCAGTATACTTTGCGCGGAATAGCAATTGATTCCGTAATGGAAATCTCAGCCATTCTTTGTTACCAGATCGGGCTAGTGGAATCCCGCCAAGAACCATCACTTCAATCTTAGTAAGAGACACGGCTTACTTAAAGATTATTCTGGGGTAAGGTTGTTTTTAGGCGTGGAATCTATCCTAATGCATGGAAGTGGAATTTTTGTGCGATGAGGAAGCGGAATTCATGCGGGATGAGGAAGTGTAATTCAGGCGGGATTAAGGCTCAACGGAGAGGGTTTGTTTACGAAGTGATAGCTGGCTCCTCGTTTTCTTCATTTTGAGATGGAAGTAGGCCCAGTTTGGTCAGCGGTCTCGTGATCTGCCCTTTCTCCGTGATGATGTCAACTACGCGTACTCGATCGTCGGGACCAGGGCCCTATTGCACCAACGAATTATCATTAGCATTTTAGCTAATTATCGAACTGGAGCAGAGTTTTTTGTTTCACCAACATGATAAGGAAAAGTCACTCAAATGAGTATTGATAAGTAGAATATCACTCACAATCAACGATAAACGTTGCACCAAAATTTGAGATGCTTAGCGAAAAGGCTTTAGCGGATAAGAGATAAATTATGCAAATTATCAAAATTTATTAGCATTTCGTTACACCAAAAATTTTTATTTATCACTTATCATTATCACTTTAATTTTGCTAACTTTAGCATTAATTTGCTAAAAGTTATTTTACCTATCATACAAGTGATAAGTTACATTTATTCAGTCTGAATGAATTTATTTATTGTAAAAGGGTAATACAATTATACCTTAACAATCTAAAAATTAAGCTCTAACACGTGATTCGATACAATATTGACACAAAAAATGCTTCGATTCGAACTATTAAATTTATTAGAGGAGGAAAATCCGGAAATAATAAAAGGCGTGTCATAAAATAAAAAATCAGCTAAAGTTTAGATATTGATGTAGTAGCCAAATTGAAGAAATTTTATTAAAAATTGGAGCGGACCTACAATATAACAGTGAGCGCAGTAATGGCTTAAGTCCTACAGCAATTACTATCGACTCTGCACTAATTAGTTAATGGTAGCCAATATCATGTGATTGGTCAAATGCATGGTGTTCACATTAGCGGTATGTACAGTAATCCATCGAGTGGAAAATGCCCTGATAAACAAATTGATGGATGAAACTATTTGTTGGTCGCAATTTACGAAATATATTGCCACACAATTTTTCAACATAGGTGGATTTCCTTAAGTCGCTGGGTGCATTGATGGAACTATGATAAATATAGACGTCCCTAAGGCTGCTGTAGAGTTGCAAAACTATCGATAGTGCCACCATCGATAGTTTTCATGTTTCAGAAAAAAAACTACCAGTTTCCAGCGATATTATCGATAGTGTCAAACGCTACCATCGATAGTACTATCGATAGTCAATGTAATGTTAAAAACTGTTTCCATAGTTGCGTTCCAGATGCTTCACGATATTCACGAAATTCACGATTTGCAGGAACAGCTGTGTTCCCCATTAATAAACCTTATGGGAGGTGGTCACCTGGAACGACTTCCTGTAAAAACCTGCAAATCGTGAAGCATCTGGAAGGCAACTAATGTAACAGGGACGGCATCGAAAAATAAAAAAAACAACAAAGTATTGAAAATACAAACACACGTAGGGCCATTTTCTTAAGTAACTCTTAACTTTAAAATTCACTTTATGTTTAAATATTGTTGCGGCGGATTCCTTGCGTATATATAGTAGCACCAAAACTAAGCGCCCAATGCGGATTAAGTAAAAGAGCGGTTTCTTCGGAATTCCGTTTACCTTATTTAGGATTAACTTAACTTAATAGGTTTAATACATAGGTATTTATGCAGAATTATTTAAGGCGGTTAAACGCGTATAAAAAGCGGGAGATCGAAGCGAAAAAAATTAAAGCGGCCGTAAAAATCCAACCAGAACTTGAGCGAGCAAAAATACAAGTACTCAAAATAGCTAGTTATAATCAAAGCAAAAACGAAAAAGGAAGAGAAAGAATAGTCAAAATGTCAAATAACAATTGGTATTAACTCTTGTTTGTAGTCGCAAAGTTAACCCTTGTAAACACTATTGCGTTAACCTTTATGTTTATGATATACATATTACAACCTAACAATTAGCGTAAGCGAACCCAACATACCGCCGCCCTAGGTGATAGGTTCTTTAAAGTTACGTGTAGGTCGAAACCATTTTGATCGACACTGTAAACTTGTCAGATATTCATTTCTCCAACGGCGGCAGAAATGTTGTCTGATCGTTGATATTGCTTGCCATCGTTGATGAAGATTACCCCAGAACCCTTGACCCTCAGGTATTGGGATCGTCTTCAGCGGTTCACCGATTATGAAGTGGCCAAGAGTTAGAACTTCGAGATTTCCTGCAGTTGTCGAGCTCTCACATAACGGGCGGGAGTTAACACAGGCTTCCACTTCTGTCAGTACCGTACTGAACTCTTTATATGATAACAAAGTTTCGGCCGAAACACGTTTCATATGATACTTTACGCGCTTAATACCTGTCTCCCAGTATCCTCCATATGGGGTGCGGTCGGGGGATGGAAACGCCACTCGATGTTCGAATCAGCAAAAAATGTACGAAGTCTCTCATGTGACATCCATTGTTGAAAATTATTGCGCAGAACCTTTTCAGAGCCGACAAAATTTGTGCCGTTGTCCGAGAACATTACCTTGCAATATCCTCTGCGGTTAACGAATCTTTTAAAGGCGTTGAGGAATGCTGGCGCTGACTAGTCACCAACCAATTCCAAGTGCATAGCGCCAGTGCACATACACACAAATGAACAAATATAACCCTTAGTAGACTTCGCTGCTCTGTCGTGTGTAAACTTGTACATGTATGGACCAGCGAAGTCCACCGCAGTGCGAGTGAAACAACGAGCGTAGTTGGTTCTGGAAGCGGGTAGATCTCCCATCGATTGCATAGCAAGATTTCGATTCAAACAAATGCATTTAACACATTTGTGATAAACGTTGCGAATCAGGTTACGAGCACCGATGACCCAATATCGGCGTTGTAAAACAACTTGCATTATACGAGGCCCAGCGTGTAACGTAAACTTATGTATGTCGGAGATTATTAACTTTGCTATCGGACAGTTCTTGTGCAAGATGATTGGATGCTTTAGATCAGGTGCGACCTCCAACTCGTAGGACATCATTTTTGTCGAGAAACAGCCCTAAGCGCAAAAGACTACTGCGAAGCGGGAGAGGCTTTTTTGCGCTGCAAAAAGATATTTCGCTAGAAAAATAGAAACGTTGGCTATACCTTATCAAGCGTAATTTGGCTTCAAATATCTCCTGGCAGCTTGGTGGCCCGTATCGTTCTTGAATGGTGCGTTGAACCTTAGCTCGAACATGGCGTAGAAATCTGAATACATAAGCGATGACGCGTTGTAACCTCGAGAACGATGAATAGTGCATTATTATTGCGAACCTTGTTACGCATACCGACCTCGGTAGTGTGTTGCTATGCTGCGGCTTGCTTCCATAACTGGTTACTGCTCAGCAGGAAATCAGGTCCCGTCCACCCCAGTTGGTGATTCAACAAATCAGCCGGAAATATACCCCTTGGCGCGCGGTCTGCAGGATTCTGTTCGGAGCGGACGTGATTCCAGCACTCAGGCGGTAGTACCTCTCGAATGTCAGCGACGCGGTTTACTATAAATGTCATCCATTTGCTGGGGTATGCTTGCAGCCATGCCAAGGTAATAGTTGATTCCGTCCAAGCGTACAACGGATAGCGGAGATCATTCCAACTATTTAACACGCTTCTTACTAATTTGGAAGCAAGATGCGCCGCACAAAGCTCCAAACGAGGTAGTGTAGTTGGCTTTATTGGCGCTACTTTAGACTTGGCCGAGATCAGCGCGACCGTGATATGACCGTCGTTTTGAACGGTGCGTGCATACAGGACGGCAGCATAAGCGCGTTCCGAAGCGTCAGCAAATACATGAAGTTCAGTTACTGAACCAAGCGTTCCACAGCCAAGCCAGCGATCAACCTTTAGTAGTTCTGAGCGATGTTCAAGCCACTGTTTTGAGATCGTCTCGAGTATGAGGTCATCCCACTCCACGCCGTCACGCCAGATGTCTTGAAACCACATCTTGGACTTAATTGTAGTTAGAGCGAGCAATCCCAGCGGATCGAAAAGCGTACTGACATCGGATAAGAAAGCTCTCTTGGACAAAATAGAAGTGTGTTGCTTCAGGTTGATTGCGAAAGTGAAGCAGTCTTCTTCTGTCTTCCAAATGAGGCCCAAAGCGTGAATCAGTTATGTAGTGCGAAATGTTTTTTGAAGCATATTATTAGATAATGAAACCGTTAACTCAAAAGAAAAAGTCAAATATCATTTCTCGCAGCCCTTTAGTTTATCGTTAATCTCAAAGTTATCTGTTTTCAATAAAATTTTAATTGTTCTCTTGATAATTCCACTGGCCTATAGACAAAAGATGTAAAGAACAGCATTAATATTGCTGGCGTGCATTTATGTCGCTGTTTCCAAATATTCTAATCTTTTTTAATATTAGCTATAGTTTGCGAATTTTTGCAAATTTTGAAACGACTTCGGTAGCTCTAATAGAAAAGCCATTATTTTCCATCATCGTGGAACAATTTTTTTATGCAAATGTGTATGGAAACACTGAACAGGCACAACTTCTAGAAACACTAATTAGTTCACTTAAGTTTATGGATGCAATATAAAAATTGCAAATATGTATAGGAAAATTACAAAAAATTTTGTTCAAATTTTTTTTTATTTTAAAATAATTTGTTTATAATCTGAACGATTTTCGTCATATTATTATCATAAATCAGTAACAGTAAGGCTCGCCTTCAATTTGGTAATTATTACATAACATTTACGAATAACATTTACTAAAGTTATATCGAAAAACTTAAGTGGATCTCCAGTTTTTTTTTTATTTCTCTTCAATTGTATACATAAATAACTTTTAAATGAAAGAACCGGATTACAGAAAAGTGTGTGTGTTTTTTCGTTCAAGCTGAATGCAAAGCAATATCGTCCAATTGGAGGGTCCTCATAAGGATCTCCCAGGATATGTTAAAGACTATTACATTTATTTTTTAACTAAAATATTTATGTATATCTTAACACTTAATGCACGTCCCCTACTTTTATATGACGCCAAATTTAGAAACCGCGAAAAATGTACTTCTTCGGTGACTAATGAAACCATTCCGCACCATTTTGCAATACTGCATAAATGGACTTACCCTAATTGTATTATGTTAATGGGTGCAAATACTTATATGCTGGAAACTACTATTAACTTATCAAATGATTCCTAATCTTTGACAATACATGTTTGACTTCATTCACCACGATCTTGAAAACTGACCAAATCGGCGTGACCAAGTCCATGGTCCTTTTAATATTATATAAACATACGAGATCATTAAAACGATTGAAATAAATCTCGTCTCACTTTTTTGTATTTTTCACCTGGTTGCTGAAGTATTGAAGAATTAAAAATTCATAAGGGAAAATTATAGCTTTTGTAAGTTTTATCTTAATATCTTAAAAACTATTAGACTTATTGAAAAATGGTAAATGAACGTGAGGTACTAAATTTAATAACCCTTAATTTGGTATATCTCCCAGTTTATAACAATAACGCATTCCATAGATATTACAAGCCAAAGTTTCATTTTCAAAATTCATACACTTTGATTCGTTTGCGCGGGCTAAAGATAAGTTTTAAATAAATTTTTCTTGGCCATTAACAATTGGCTTATACCTAAGACATCATAATATTACTATTACAATGCGGTCAAATAACTTTTATTTTCCCCCATACAAAATCGACCCAGCCTAATGCAGGTGCTACTCCATAAGTGACACGTAACATTCGGTAGTCTTGTATAGGCAGTGATGGATCAGTACGCCAAACAATTCGTTGCAGATCGACGTGATTCGATGATACGCAGACTTGGCGGTACATCTTCGCGATATCTGCGGTTACTGCATACCGATGAGTTCTGAAGCGCATGAGTATCGAAATCAAGTCCTATTGCAGCTGCGGTCCAACAAATAGTGCATCATTGAGCGAGTTCCCAGTTGTGGTCTTAGCGGATGCGTTGAAGACAACCCGTAGCGTTGTCGTAATACTTGACTCCTTTACTACGGGGTGAGGTGGCATGTAGTACGCTCGATTTGTCGCTTCAGTTACCCGCTCCATATAGTGCATATCAGTGAGTTCTTGCATGAACTCATTGTAACGTCTACGTAACTCGTCGTAGCCAGCTTTCTCTCGATGCGGAACAGATTACGAACAGCAAAGCTTCAAGAATCTCCCAGCGGCACATCAGGTTTCAGCGGCAGCTCGACAACAAAACAGCCATTAGGTGACCTTGGGTGCGTTGATTTCAAGTGTTTTTCGCAAAAGCGTTCTTCAGCTGTCAGATGCATTTTGTGCGGGGTCTCTTCTAACTCCCACAACCTTGTAAGTGCTCTTTCTAATCGTACATCACAATGTAATGCCTGTATACGCGGCATTAATGGACCGTCCACTCTACTAAAGAGTGTCCAACCAAAGACCGTTCGCTGCGTCATAGGCATACCCAATTGACCCTTTGAATTTCCGGACAAACTAGCTGGTCCATAACGTCCATGACCACCAATACGTCTATGCGACCAGGCTTCATAAACTGCGGGCCTGCTAAGAATAGTCCATGATTGTGCGGCCATCTCGACGCAGCCAATCTTTGCGTTGGCAAATCTGCTGTAATTTTCGGTAAAATCAGCGCATTTATCGTGTAGCATTCGTCTGAATAATATAATGAAAGCGAAAGTAGAACCTCGCCTCTAGCTCGTCCTCCTTGTGATGACCCAATTCCTGTGATGACTACGGCAGACGACGTTCTGGGCAGACCCAGGCGTTGAACACACGACTCCGTTACAAACGATGCATGGGACCCAGAGGCGAACAATAAACATGCCGGTTGCCAACGACCGGCGGAATCGCGAAGCTTCACTAGAGCAGTAGCAAGCAAAACGGTCCTTTGGTTTACAGGTAGTGGGTCAGCATCAGAATTTAAGCACGAAGAAACGGATCCGCGAGCGGGATCAATCGATGAATCGATTATAGGTGCAGCGGTATCTGCGGCTGCGTAGTTAGAACTTGCTGGTTGTATATTATCAGCGGTAGTGGCCACACTGGTGAAGGCTGCAGCGATATATAGTAGAGTGTGAAGGCGTTGGCGACAAGTTCAACACACCGATGTGCTATTGCATCGAGACTTAAAATGACCCGAGCTCAAACAATTTAAACGGAGTCGTGCCTCTTTAGCGAACTTTAATTTAGTGGTAGAATCCAGCGGATTGAATATATCGCATGAGTAAATCTTATGAGCTCCCTTGCAATAGGGACAACTCACACTGTTCTGTTCCGGTAGTGCGTGGAAAACCTTGGTGGACCTACTTGCTGTAGTCGACTTACTTCCTTGTGGCGGGTCAGCTGCTGCTGAAAGCATCGATAGTGATCGGCACCTCACCTCTAAAAACGTTGCTAATTGATCGAAAGTTGGGGGCCCGTCACTAACGAGTGATAGCTCCCACTGCTTCCTGGTCTCAAATGCAAATTTGTTTATCACCTCGTGCACCAACCAATCGTCCCAGAATTCGACCCGGCGACCCAAAGCCTTCAGTTCGCGAATATGCTGCTGATATGCGTCGAGAACGCCTTTGATAGCACTGGCAGTATCACCTGCGGCTTTTCGGATGTCAGCCATTGCTTTGAAGTGCGCCTCAACAATGACTCGCATGATTTTGAAGCGAGACTTCAACAGATCCCATGCCTCCTTGTAGTTAGCATCGCTGATCTTGAAGCCGCTAATGATCTTTAATGCATCACCCTTTAAACAGCTGCGAAAGTAATGCATTTTTTGTCCATCCGACAATGCGGCGCTTGTGTCAACCAGCGAGCAGAACGCGTCATAAAAACCTAACCACTTGGTGGAATCGCCCGAAAATGATGGTAGCTCCATCTTCGGTAAATGTATAGAGGCAGTTATGGTTGTTGGTATGGTTGCAGGCTGATTTGGACGTTGTGTACGAAACTTTTGTACCCGGTTGAAATTCGGCAAAGCAGTAGAGTACCAAGTTTCGGCTTGAATTCGTACGTTTTCCTCCAAATCCGTGTTGTCGGCTCCATAGGAATTTTCCAATGCATCTTGAGCTGCGCTGAATTGGGTCCATTGTTCATTCAACAGCTGCAGATAACTTGTCACGGATTCAGCATTCATCGTAAACGCATCAGCGATGCTCTTTGCCATGTACCGCTTAATTTCCTTAAGCGCAGAATCGCGTGACTTCTCCGAATTTGACATTGCTGCTTTTCTTTTCCCTTGTGTTTCGTAGGTCAAGATTGGTTTTGCGAATTGTTTGCAGAGGCCAAATCAAAGACGCTCGCATGTCCTTCAATGTCTATGAAAGGTCACCTTTAGCAAAATAGCACCACGTTTTGAATGCGAGTAAAGCGAATGTTTGTACAGAGAAGGCGACGTACGCCTGATTTTGTAAAAAAAAATGTAGATTTTTTCTATACTATGCACTTGCTTATGAACAAACGTATTTGTGTAATGTACATATATTACGAGCAGTATCAGCTATCCGGTGCGAAGGACCAGTAAATGTTGCGGCGGATTCCTTGCGTATATATAGTTGCACCAAAACTAAGCATCCAATGCGGATTAAGTAAAAGAGCGGTTTCTTCGGAATTCAGTTTCCCTTATTTAGGATTAACTTAACTTTATAGGTTTAATACATAGGTATTTATGCAGAATTATTTAAGGCGGTTAAACGCGTATAAAAAGCGGGAGATCGAAGCGAAAAAAATTAAAGCGGCCGTAAAAACCCAACCAGAACTTGAGCGAGCGAAAATACAAGTACTCAAAATAGCTAGTTATAATCAAAGCAAAAACGAAAAAGGAAGAGAAAGAATAGTCAAAATGTCAAATAACAACTGGTATTAACTCTTGTTTAGAGTCGCAAAGTTAACCCTTGTAAACACTATTGCGTTAACCTTTATCTTTATGATATACATATTACAACTTAACAATTAGCGTAAGCGAACCCAACAAATATTGCTTTAACATGTATAGTTCTGTCTAAGTAAAGGATTTTATTATCGAATTTTATTTATTTATTTACATATCTATTACTGAAGCTTACAATTAAAAATAAAATTATGAGCCTAGTAAAGATAGCTTCTTCTTATGATCTATAACACATCGCAAAAAAAATGGGGAAAAATTTGTTGCGGCAAATGTTACAGTTGTGTTTGATTGACTTGTCAGTGCTGATTACGAATCCATGAGCATAAGGTTTCTATCAGCTCCATATTTTGTGAAAAACGAGGTCAAAATCTCAAAAAATCTGGTTTTTTTGGCAATATTTTAGAAGCTCTAGCAAAGAAACAAAACGCTGAATTAGGCTTAAATTAAAGCTAGAAGTCTTGACTACTATCCCTGAAAATACCATCCCTACACCTTGACCTTATGGTCACTTATAGCCATTTATTGAACAGCAAAACCTGATTTTGTGCGAAGTTTGAGTACCCACCGCAATTAAACAAAAGGGGATAGAGGGCTGAAATTAAGGCTTGAACTTTCGACTAAAATCGCCCAAAATACCATCCCTGAACATTAACCCAAAGGTCACTTATTTAACAGCAAAAACTGATTTTGGCAAAACTTCTTTATTTTTTTCAATAGCACAGTATTTAATCCAGTATTTTTATATTGTTCAATAAATGACTTTTAGTGACCACCAGGTCAAGGTAAGGGGATAGTAGCCGAGAGTTATAGCTTTAACTTAAGACCCAGACAAAGGTCCTATCACCTTTTGTTTTTTGTGCTAGACCTTCTAAAATATTGCAAAAAACGCGATATTTTGATACTTTGACCTCGTTTTTCTCAAAATATGGAGCTGATGGAAACTTTATGCTTACGGACTCGTAATCAGCATAAAAAAGTCTATCAAAAACAGTCTTATCATTTGCCGCAACAAAATCCCTGTTGCCTTGTTTAATTGTTGCTTATTATAAATTTTCAAATAGATATATTTTGTTTAAATTTCGTAATATAATTTTTTGATTTGTTTACAGACAAGAAACATACAAACACCGATAATAGAAATGCTTTACTTCAGACATAGCCTTATGGTTAGAAGCAACGTTAAAATATAAAGGGAGCTTTTCAATTAAAGGTTGCTTGAGAAAACGGCCTCAAAGGAGGAACCACAATGAAAGTATCACTTATAACAAAAAAATGACAAACTTAAAAAACTAACGCGCAGCTACATGGAGACATTATAAATAAAATCGGCTGTGCTAGAGGTTTTCGCCTATCGATAGTCAACTAGTACTATCGATAGTTTAACCTTTTTTGAGAAAAACTATCGCTAGTCATCGATAGGGGCAAAAAAAATAAAACTATCGATACTATCAATAGTACCATCGATAGTTTGACACCTCTAGGCTACTGAGTACCAATTTGTTAACCGGTACGGAAATCATTCAATTAATGCAATGTGATTTTTGGTTTTTTGCTACTGAATTATTTTGGAGAAAAATATAGTTATTTATATAAACATACATATGATAGCCAAGCCGGACTTACCTCTTTCCTTAATAATTTTCAAGGCAGCCAATTTATTGGCTTTGCTTTGAGCGTGCGACATATACTACGTATATACGCACGTATTATTTGCAAATAACAATTTGCAAAATGGTAAACTTTGCCGTATAGACGCTGAGTTAACTTTTTATTTGCAAATAACTAAATCACGCAAATAAGTATTTATTAGTGGTACTATTTGCAAATAAGCGCAAGACGCCGCCATTCTTAGGCTTATTTTCATTTTCGATGGTCATCTTATTGCCTTTTTATAATAAAGACGTTGCCATTTTCAACTTTATTTTCTTTTTCGATGGTCATATTATTGCTTTTTTATAATCAGTCAATATTAAAAAAGAATGTTTCCCCATCGAATAAACAGTAAGTTAGGTATTTGCGAATTATTTTTATTTGGAATAGCTTACGTATAAACGTAGTAATAGTAAGAAAAAAAGATAAATTGAAAATGTTTATCAAATCGCACATGAGTTTGCTAAGGTTTCGTTTTCCATTCCGAAACGGTAGTAATTTTAGCTAAGCACACTATTGGAAAAGTTCTCTATTTGAAAAGCAAAAGAAATTGGCTGTGCAATGGTTATCAAATCGACTTATCCAAAAAACTTGTCAGTTAATAATTTTTTGATAAGTTGATAAGTTTGTTATGATAAGTAAAAAGTGCAACACTTAATAATGAAATGAATGAAATAAAGCGTGACTTTTCTTGAAATGGAGTTTTCGTATTTCGATGTGTTCTTTGATAGAATCTCATAACCAGGGAACGGATTTTATGGAAATTGCCTTTTTTTCTGCTAAAGAGATAGAGTATATTCGATTAAGAATGTCCACGATTTAGCTTTCCCTGATTCCATATATACACATTTGATGTTGCCTTTTTGCCTTTTTTAAGATATATGCCTTTTCTTGCCTTTTTTAAGATATTTGCCTTTTTTGCTTTTTCTGCCTTTAAAAAAGCGATTATGGCATTTAAATTTTTTTTTTAAGATTAAAAAATATACACATGCCCATGCGGCTTATAGAAGCGCAGGGACTTCTTGCCACATTGGTGTTGGAAAAATTCAAAGCCGTTTTCTCAGCTAACGTAGGCTTGGAGACAATAAGGGGTGTGGATAAAATTGTAAAGGGCGTGGAAAACGCCCTTATTCCTGATAATATGAACGTTTCAATCGTTTCATATTTAAATTGGGCTCCACTCGTATCAACTTACGTCGAGCGCACATTTAGTACGTTCAAGGCTTTTCTTCGCGAAAATCGAATGAAAATGCTGCCAGAAAATTTCAAAATGCATCTCGTGGTTCAATGTTAGTACAACTATACAGATTAAAGTTTTATTAGTTAGAAACTCGAAAGGATAAAAAAGTCAAAGATTCAAAGTACAAATTTTTCATATAATGAAACTAGTTCATAGTTTTTCTCTTTTTACTTGTAACATAAACATTTCTAAAATAAATGTATTTTTTGATTGTTGTTTGTATTTTCTGTCTTTTTTTAGTGCCTTGTTTTGCTTTTTTTGCAATACCTAGTGCCTTTTCCAGCCATTTTTGCTATTTTGTTTTGCCTTTTTTGCAATACCTAGTGCCTTTTTCGCTATTTTTTATAGGTTTTTAGGTCCTAAAAATCCGTTCCCTGCTCATAACATATGATAAAACTCTCAAAGCTCTCGGAAAATCTGAAAAAACGGTCAAGAATATCGGTATAATTTACTTTTGTTGTGTAAACGTGCGTTCTTTTTTCCTCAACTACTGTGCTGTAGTCTGTTTCCTGTGTGGTCCATTTAGGGTTATCTTCTTGTAACCAATAAGGTCTCTGCCACCACAACGAATTGTTGACCAATTCATATGCTGGAAGTCCTCTGCTCGCTAAGTCTGCTGGATTAGATGCCGAATCCACATGCTGGCAATTCTTGTTTCCGACCTTCTCTACAATGACCATGAACCCGGAGGCTTGCGAGCCCTAGCGAGAACGATTTTANTTAAATTGGGCTCCACTCGTATCAACTTACGTCGAGCGCACATTTAGTACGTTCAAGGCTTTTCTTCGCGAAAATCGAATGAAAATGCTGCCAGAAAATTTCAAAATGCATCTCGTGGTTCAATGTTAGTACAACTATACAGATTAAAGTTTTATTAGTTAGAAACTCGAAAGGATAAAAAAGTCAAAGATTCAAAGTACAAATTTTTCATATAATGAAACTAGTTCATAGTTTTTCTCTTTTTACTTGTAACATAAACATTTCTAAAATAAATGTATTTTTTGATTGTTGTTTGTATTTTCTGTCTTTTTTTAGTGCCTTGTTTTGCTTTTTTTGCAATACCTAGTGCCTTTTCCAGCCATTTTTGCTATTTTGTTTTGCCTTTTTTGCAATACCTAGTGCCTTTTTCGCTATTTTTTATAGGTTTTTAGGTCCTAAAAATCCGTTCCCTGCTCATAACATATGATAAAACTCTCAAAGCTCTCGGAAAATCTGAAAAAACGGTCAAGAATATCGGTATAATTTACTTTTGTTGTGTAAACGTGCGTTCTTTTTTCCTCAACTACTGTGCTGTAGTCTGTTTCCTGTGTGGTCCATTTAGGGTTATCTTCTTGTAACCAATAAGGTCTCTGCCACCACAACGAATTGTTGACCAATTCATATGCTGGAAGTCCTCTGCTCGCTAAGTCTGCTGGATTAGATGCCGAATCCACATGCTGGCAATTCTTGTTTCCGACCTTCTCTACAATGACCATGAACCCGGAGGCTTGCGAGCCCTAGCGAGAACGATTTTAGAATCGGTCCACAGATGTATGTTGATATGCCCTAAATTGAGATTGTTGATTATCGAATCAACTACTTCCGCCAGTAGTACCGCTCCGCAAAGTTCCAGTCGTGGTAGCGATATGGTTTTAACAGGAGCAACTCTAGTTTTTGCCAAAAGCAGGTTAATAAAAACTTTGCTATCTCTTTTGACACGCATATACACAGAGGCGGCATATGCTTTCTCCGACGCGTCACAGAATCCGTCTATTTGTATGTCATCCGTTGGAGAAAAATATACCCATCGCGGTATACGAATATTATCAATTTCGTGGTAATGTTGGGTAAAATTCTGTCATCGTTTTAGAGTGGTCGAAGACACAGTCTCATCCCAATCTGTGCCTCCCAGCCAAATGTTTTGCATAAGGATTTTGGCTACAACTATGATAGGCGCAAGCCACCCCAGCGGATCGAAGAGCTTAGCAATGGCAGATAGTATCTTCAAAAAAAATCTTCACTAAGTAGATCTGTTTTCGGTATGCCATTCAGTATTTTTTTCCTGTTATTGGCTGTCCACTTTCGAAGTGGAAAACCGGCTGATTGCAACATTTCCGATATCTCATCTCTGGCTTTTATTGCTGAATCTATAGTGTGTCCACCAAATAATACATAGTCGACATACATGCATTTTCGCAGTATGTTAGATGCTATTGGATTAGAGCTTTGCACATCGTCAGCTAATTGTAAAAGTGTCCTTACAGCCAGATAAGGAGCACAATTGATACCGAACGTGACAGTCTTTAATTCGTACAGACTGATCGGGTCATTCGGGTTAGTGCGAAAAATTTTCCTCTGATACTTAGTATGGTTGATATGTACCAGAATTTGCCTATAAATTATCTCGATGTCACTGTTGAACTCATATCTGTATAGTTTCTAACGGAGTATTAATATCGGAAGATCCGCCTGAAGTACTAGTCCTGGTAAAGGAAGTACATTTAGTCTGTTGCCATTCGCCGTTTGGCGTGAGGCATTGAACACCACGCGTACTTTCGTTGGTGCGGCAGAAAACAATTATCAGACGAGTCTGCGGGTATGGGATTTGTTATTTTCGACACATACCCAAGCGTTTCATATTCCGCTAGAACCCTATTGTATTCCTTTTGCAGAACGGGATCCTTGGCCAGCCGTGTCTCATTCCGGTAAAATTGAGAACATGCCCTTTTAAAGGATGGGTCTAGGGAAATATTTCCTGGAAAATCTTGTCTAAATGATAGTGACACGATGTATTTTCCTTCAATATTTCGTGTGGTTGTCTTCTGATACAGCTCCTCGTAGTACTTGTCGTCTTCGTTAGGGCTTTTGTTCTTTGGAATCTCCTCTAGCTCCCAAAAGGCACTCAGTTGCTTGTCCAGACTAACTTCGCTATAGTAGGAGACGATATTCATTCCTGGATTCGTGGTATCAGTACGCCTTGTTATTATCCAGCCAAATACTGTTTCTTGGGCCAGAAGTGTGTTTAATATGTTCTTCTTTAGCCCGCTCAGAATAATTTGTGGATATATGCCGCCACCCAGAACAAGGTCTACGGGTTCGTTGACGAAAAATCGTTTATCCGCTTTAATCGGATCTGGAAATGCTTGCTTAGTCACTGCACTAATGTGGCAAGTAGGAAGATTTCCAGTCAGTTGTGCTAGCATGAGCACTGAGGTATTTAAGCGGAACAATGGGTCAACAGGAGACGACAATTTGATGTTGCACGCTTTTTTAACCTGCGCCGTAGTTGTATTAGTGATGCCCGAAACTTAGGCATGCATACGCCTTGACGGCAGGTAAATTCTGCGTTTTAGTCTTTCAGTAATGAAAGAACACTCTGAACCAGAATCAATAAGTGCTCTAGCGGAATAGTTCGTACCATTGAGATATATGTTGACGCGTGCTGTCCCTAATAACACACCTGTGTTTGTATTCGCATAGCAGGACTTCACGTTTTTGCTTGTATGCTTGTTTGATTTTGTTGAATTTCGTTTGGCTTGGGCCTGATTGGATGTTGACGCAGAATTAGTCTCAGAATCTGAAGAGGTCCAAAGTGTCGTTGCCTTTGTTTGAGCTGTCTCAATATGAAGGAGCCTGTTGTGTAGCGAGTCGCACTTGCTACAATTAAATGGGTTTGTGCATCTTGACACAGTATGTACAGTAGGGCGGGTCGAAAATCTAATTTTTCTCAAATTCCATGGTAATAATGAAAATATATTGTATCATGAAGTCAACAACAAGCCTGCAAAATATTAGTCTTTTATTTTAATTGTAAGAGCCCGCGCATCGACCGCCAAGTGATCCACAGCACACTAGTCGAATAAGACCAATTCTTGTTCAAAATTCTGGATTCAGCAAAAAGGTTTGGTGCATATTATTAGATAATGAATCCGTTAACTCAAAAGAAAACGTCAAATATCATCTCTCGCAGCCCTTTAGTTTATCGTTAATCTCAAAGTTGTCTGTTTTCAATAAAATTTTAATTGTTCTCTTGATAATTCCACTGGCCTATAGACAAAAGATGTAAAGAACAGCATTAATATTGCTGGCGTGCATTTATGTCGCTGTTTCCAAATATTCTAATCTTTTTTAATATTAGCTATAGTTTGCGAATTTTTGCAAATTTTGAAACGATTTCGGTAGCTCGAATAGAAAAGCCATTATTTTCCATCATCGTGGAACAATTTTTTTATGCAAATGTGTATGGAAACACTGAACAGGCACAACTTCTAGAAACACTAATTAGTTCACTTAAGTTTATGGATACAACATAAAAATTGCAAATATGTATAGGAAAATTACAAAAAATTTTGTTCAAATTTTTTTTTATTTTAAAATAATTTGTTTATAATCTGAACGATTTTCGTCATATTATTATCATAAATCAGTAACAGTAAGGCTCGCCTTCAATTTGGTAATTATAAAGTTATATCGAAAAACTTAACTGGATCCCCTCTTCAATTGTATACATAAATAACTTTTAAATGAAAGAACCGGATTACAGAAATGTGTGTGTGTTTTTTCGTTCAAGCTGAATGCAAAGCAATATCGTCCAATTGGAGGGTCCTCATAAGGATCTCCCAGGATATGTTAAAGACTATTACATTTATTTTTTAACTAAAATATTTATGTATATCTTAACACTTAATGCACGTCCCCTACTTTCATATAACGGCAAATTTAGAAACCGCGAAAAATGTGCTTCTTCGGTGACTAATGAAACCATTCCGCACCATTTTGCAATACTGCATAAATGGACTTACCCTAATTGTGTTATGTTAATGTGTGCAAATACTTATATGCTGGAAACTACTATTAACTTATCAAATGATTCCTAATCTTTGACAATACATGTTTGACTTCATTCACCATGATCTTGAAAACTGACCAAATCGGCGTGACCAAGTCCATGGTCCTTTTAATATTATATAAACATACGAGATCATTAAAACGATTGAAATAAATCTCGTCTCACTTTTTTGTATTTTTCACCTGGTTGCTGAAGTATTGAAGAATTAAAAATTCATAAGGGAAAATTATAGCTTTTGTAAGTTTTATCTTAATATCTTAAAAACTATTAGACTTATTGAAAAATGGTAAATGAACGTGAGGTACCAAATTTAATAACCCTTAATTTGGTATATCTCCCAGTTTATAACAATAACGCATTCCATAGATATTACAAGCCAAAGTTTTATTTTCAAAATTCATACACTTTGATTCGTTTGCGCGGGCTAAAGATAAGTTTTAAATAAATTTTTCTTGGCCATTAACAATTGGCTTATACCTAAGGCATCATAATATTACTATTACAATACGGTCAAATAACTTTTATTTTCCCCCATACAAAATCGACCCATCCTAATGTACAGTACTAAGACAATTCAGGAACCATTTTTTGCTTTCCAAAAAATCGATTCTATCAGCTGGTGTTTTGGTGCGGAATTGTGAACAGCTGCGTAACTTGTGCTCATTAGTTTGGCATATTAGGCAGGTGAACTTGTTTACGCTTGCCTGAAAGGCTCGTGGCATTTTAGTGTTAGACTCCTGGTGGTGCCGTGCGCGCCGGTGCCTTGGAGCTTTCGCCGCTGTTATACCCTTTAGTTCCGCTAGAGTTTCCAAAGTTTGGAATCTATTGGATAGGAACCTGTCCATATCCTACCACTTTGGAATGTCCGTTTTCTGGTCCATGGTCTGTTCCCATAGAGCCAGTGTACTTTATGGAAGCTTCGTTGAACACAAATATATAATAATTGTGTCCCAGTTAGAGATGTTA